CAATATTTAACTAAGCATTACTAGTCTTAAATATGAAAGATTAAATGTAAATGTGCAAAAACAGAGTTGTAAATGGACAGTATTGACATAGGGAGCTGTCCAGAGCTGTGCAATCAGTGACACCTGCTCTTTTGTAAAGTGTCTCGAGATAACACTTGTTATGAGTTGACGCTATACAAATAAAAAATGATTGATTGATTGATTGATACAGTATGTGCACAGCAATGCAGTGCCAGGCAGGTATTTCACTGGAAACCATTATTCATAACGGCTTTTCTGAACTATCAGCAGAGGTACTGGAGTGGTTGACTTGCAATCATTCACAGGTCTTCTTGTAAGCACTATTCACTCTTAACAGCTTTGGTAAACACAGCTAAGTTATGTTGTCATGTCTGGGTACATACACTCAGCAACAGCTCACCACAGAGAGCTCGTTCAGCCAAAAGTTGGACATCATGCATTGGAGGCTAGCTAAGGCTATGTGTGTGTGTGTGTTGTTGTATGTGTGTTTGTGTGTGTGTGGGTGGGTGGCTCTAGCTGTTCAGAGGTAATGTAATGAAGGCTGTGGCTCCATTAGGACTCTCTTCCTGCAGACTCCCATCATACCACTCCCAGTGGAGAAAGAGAGATAGACAGATAGGCAGGCAGAGACGGGGAGACAGGAGAGGCGCAGACACAGAGGCGGAGAAGAGACAAGAGGAAAATGTCAAAAGGCTGCAGTGAAATCTGACCTCCTGGCACATCAGGATCTGAGTCTTGGGACCTGGGGTGGGGCAGGCGGGGATAAAGAAGGGAGGGAGGGAGGTATTTGGGAGGGAAATGGGAGATAAATAGGGATGACAACCAAGCAGAGAAGAAAGTGAAACCCCCCTGATTTTAAAGCAGTAAGAGAAAGTGGAGTGCTTTAGCCTTAAGATGGACAGAATGTCACTACTGAACCCCTGAGGTTCTAAGATTTCATTTCCAAGTATCCATCTGCAGTGGACATAAAATCCAGTCCTGAATTGATCCCGGCACTCTTGAGTATCCACTGTTCAACCGCAGGAGAGTGAACTCGCACAGGCAGAGAGAGAGGGTTTGACAAATGACGGGGCAGTCTCTTCTAGTTTCTCAAGACAGAGAAGAAAAAGATGAGATAATACAGCGGGACGCTCTCGGACATTGAACCAGAGCAGCGAGTAAATGCTCAGTGACACAGGTTCAGCGAGCACAGAGACATGGACACGGAGCCACTTGGCGAGGAGGAAGAAGCTATTTTTCTCCAGGACAATCACGCCAGAGACAGGCGGTATTTTTAGAGCTTCACATCTCACTGAGTCCCTTCGTCGCGTTCTCTTTTGTCTCACAAACACAGACCCGATATTTCTGTCTATCTTTCATTTAAAGTTTCATTTACCACCGAGTCGAGTTTGGCATCACTCCCAACGTCTTTATCACGATTCTTCTTTCCCTCGCTTCATGGTGTCACTTCACCACTTAACCTCAATTGACACCTTGTGTTACACAGAGTTCATCGCTGAGATTTTCTGTCCTGATACTTCAGGGACAACTTTTTACCAAGGAGCTGAATGGATTTTTTTTTTTTTTTTTTTCAAAGTGCCATTTGAAAAACTCAACATGTTTGTAAAGAGTCAATATCCTGTTAACTCAGGAGACAGTTTGTACCTTTTGATGCACAGATGAGCCATGCTGTAGTTAAATCTCAATCAGGCCTTTTCATTGGAATATACCTGCATAGTGAGAAAATCGTTTATTGATGTACGTGTGTCCAACTCCTTTCAACCTTCTTCTAGTTGACCTTGCAAACAAGTAAGCAAGCAACGTACGTACTCTACGTCTTACCTTAAAGTCCGGCGCGGGAACTGTGGCGCATGCAAAGACCACCAAGGCCAGTTTGATTCCAATTGAGGCTTTAAAGACTAAATCAGCATTATCTAGGCGTGTTTGTCCGAATTGGAAATATGTGGTTCAGTTCGATTTCAGACTAACTTGTTGAAAAAAAAATCCAGTTTTAGTCGGACCATCACAATGAATCAGTTTTTCAAACGGCATGTAAACGTACTGATTGTAAGAGTTTGTCTGTTAATAGAGGGAGACAACTGCTAAAAAATATCCAAAGCAAGGACCCCAGATGATCCTAAGGAAAACACTTTTTCTGGTAAAACATGTCGAATTGAACATACTCATTCTAAAACCTTTTAGGGAAGATTAACATAAACACTCACTAGAATAATTCTTAGGATAACTTTGGACTTAAACAGCTACCACTACCTTAAAAACATACCTTTACATTTCTGTTGATCACTTTTACCAGTGAATGAAACGACTTCACATCATGTCAAAAGGAGACACAAAACTCCTGAGTGTTTCCTGAAATTAATGACCCAGACTTGAGACTTTTTTCCTACCAGACCCCTGGTAACAGAGGAGTCGTGGTGAGCTGAACGCAGCAGGTAACATTCAAGAAAAATCACCGCGAGCGAACAGGCGGTGATGACATTTATATCATGTGACCTGTGAAATCAACATGAACATAATGAAGCTGTTTCATACTCTTTTCTGTCCAAGTTTATCCTTAATTCACTTCAAGTCCCACTCTTCATCCTGATTGGATGGCTACTCCGTTTAATTCAACATTGTACACTGTTTCCATCTAAATGAGATGTAGGTTCAACTCTAGAATAAGAAACAGTTTCGACCAAGCCCGATCTGCACCGCACCGTCCAGAGAAGACAAGAGATCTGATCAGAGAGAAGAAGTGAGAGCAGAACGACGAGTGAGAGGAGGCTAACTCGTGTCATGACGAGGGCGAGATCATTCATCACCACTGCCACTTGGAATCGATCAGCGGTGGCCGAGGACGACAACACTACTGCTCACACTACTGGGACATGTCATGTCTTAGATAGTATGTGGGGTCCAACCAAGCATGGTAAATGGTAAATGGACTTGAGTTTGTATATTTCTTTTCTGGTCTTCTGACTACTCAAAGCGCTTTTACACCACAGGTCACACCTACACATTCACACACTGATGGTAGAGGCTCATATGTAAAGTGACCATCAGAAGTGACTAATCCCATTCATACACATTCATACGACGCTGACGAAGCAGCGGGAGCAACTCAGGGTTCATTTTCTTGCCCAGGGACACATCGGACATGTGGCTACAGGAGCTGGGGATCGAACCTTTGACCTTCCGGTTGAGAGACGACGACTATACTGAGCCACAGCCGCCCTTATAAGTATAAGTATAGAACAATCAACTATCACAAACTACTTTTTTGCCTTTATCAAAAGGAAAGCATCGATTATCGTGTGCCTTTTATGTTTAGTATTTTAAATTACAAAGATGAACCTCTTGAGAGTGTGGAAGAAGGACAGTCTTGTATTCTTACTGGATGTGGGTGAGGTCATCACTGAAAACCGACCAGCGAGCATACTGGTTTTGTCTGCCAGAAGCAGGATGAGAATTGAGAAAATACAACAACAGCTTGAGTTTTAGAAGTAAGTGGGAGGCCTTCATAGTAAAAGTACAACTCTAGCTTCCTTCTCCATAATGTTCAGGACAAAATCACAACTTCAGACATGTTACCACTCAAGTTCAGCAGATGTTTTATAGTCTCAGGGATTAGGGAATACTTAAAGATGAACTTGAAGTCTGATTACAACACTTTTTGGGGAAGTTGTACTTTCACAGAAAATCACATCAGAGACGTAAACAAATGCTGAGTACAAATGATAACTGAGAAAAATCCACATTTCCATTAAGACATTAAATGCTCACCTACATGTTAAATACACTCAACTCATTTTTTCCCCTCGTTGTTATGTTACAAAAACTACCAATTGCATCCAAAGTATTTGTGCACAATGGCCCCACCCTAAAGGAAGAGACTAAAGTGTGTGTGTGTGTGTGTGCGTGTGCGTGTGTGTGTGCAGCACTACAGTCCATTACTGAAATCACATTAGCCTGAGCGAGTGCGCTGAGACAGGAAACAGCCATCCACCATCCCCCTGACTCACTTTGACTACACACAGACACACACTCACATTGCATGATCAAATCTTGCATCGTAACGTTCATTTCTTTTGAGTTTAGGAAAATGTAAAACACGACTCAAACTAAGATACAGCCAAATAAAGTGAATGCATCAGCTTAGATCAAAGTCTGATGTAGGCTACAGAGCTGAGAATCAATTTATTAAAATGCGACGCAGCGAGAGCAATAAATTAATGTAGAGATGTTGTTTTGTATAGAGGACGGGGAAGGAGGAAAGAGGCTGTGTTAGAGTTTCCTCTCCACAAGGACAGAAAGACAGACTTAGTGGCAAACAAACCAAGCCCTGAGAGAGGGAGAGCACTACTGATACACACAACACACACACACACACACACACACACTCTTATGTGTCTTATGCTCAAACAAAACACAAGTAAACAAACCTTACACAGGCTTCAGTGCCGTTAGATTTAACAGTAGCCCAGAAATCAGAGCTATCAGACTGCTTGTAACATGTCACATTTCAGGTTTTAAAGGTAAACAAGACAACTCCTCCAAAGTCAAAGTCACCTTCTTATTATCAGTCTGGGGCAAAAAAAAACCCCAAAAAACAGGAAACATCTAGAGCTGTGTGTTAAGACGTAAACATTCCTCACTGCAGCCTGGACAGAAATAGTAAATAATGGAGTCTGTGTAAGACTTGTGCTGGTGATTATTTTGACAACTGGCTTGTTTTGGTGTTACCACCCCTGTAGCACATCAACTCTAAAAGTCTGTTACCAAAACAGATGCTGCTTCGCCTCAAGAGAAGCTGATGCCTATATACTCCTATAAGCAGCTACTTCAAAGCAACATCTGAGAAAAAAGAAATGTGCCACAGCTGAAGCACGGCAACGCCTTCCTCTGCTCTTCCTCAGCATCAGCAGCATCAGCAGCATCTTTACACGGCTGACTGGGCCAGTCAATGCGGAGAGCAGTGCTGCGGACAAGACACCCACCTGCCGTATCCGGTTCTGGTGCAGCGGTGGTGGAGGTCCACCCTCCGGGGATGTGTTGCTCGAGGAGGCCAGTTTTAAGTCACAGCTGGAGCCGCCGCCCCTGGAGCGGCTGTCTTCAGGGCTGCTTGACATTCTCTCTCTCCGGCTGGCTGCTGCTGCTGCTGGAGCCGCCTCGGTCACTGAGGGTCCTTCTATACCGGCTGCAAGGTGGATTTTAATGTGTCGGCCTCAGAGTCCAGAAGGATGTGCAGGGCCCGGGAGCATCCTGCGGCTGCGGAGACAGTCTGTTATTAACCGTGACAAAAAAAATGCAACACAGTGGGGGGTAGGGGGGGAGTTCTTCTTCTTCTTCTTCGCTTGTTTAACCAAATGAGCTTCTCCCTCCGTTCAGGGATGCTTACGGTGTGTTTGCTGTATATTTGCGCGCGCGTGTGCGAGAGTGAGAGTGAGAGTGGGGAAAACGTGAACGCGCGTCACATGCGCTTCCCCGAAACTCCGCAGGATCTGTGCTGCCTTCACGTGGAGTCGGAAACTTGGCAGACGCTGCCTGATTAGCATAATCAATCTGACAAACTCAAAGTGTCCCACTCTTTAGGAGGTGAAATTTGATCCATGCGGAAATGGAGCATTTAGTCAAAGATGTTGCAAGATTTTTTTAAATTTTTTTTTTTTGAATGGTCCATAATATAGACAGGCTATTTAGAGAATCAGCTCATCTTTTTGTTACACTTTAACAGCGTTAAGTTGTGGTTTGATAGCCTGCTACAACACTTGCAACAGGAGCATCATTTATTTGCAGTAGCAGATTTCCTGACAATAAGAAAAGCAGCTCCATTGTCCGTTCAATCATTGGGCTAATTAAAAAAAAAAAAGACCTATTACAGAAATAGTTTTAAGAAGACCAACCCTTTACCAAGGTCAGTGAACGCATCGAGAAGCAGTAGTGCGCTCCTGTTTTGCTTTCCACCCCCTCCCCTCCTCCCCTCCTCCCCTCCTCCCCTCCCTCTCTGTGCTCCCTCTGCAGCAGTGCTGGAGCTCTTCAGATGGAAAAGTTAACAGTGTGCTCCGTTATTAAAACTGTACGATCGTGTGTTTACACCACTATGAAATCAAAAGCAGCCCAGGCACACTGTGTTGAGATTACATAATCCAATCTGCTTCTTTCCTTTACGCCCCCACACTCAGGCCTGTGTGTCTTCACCGAGCTGCAGATTTAATGGAGGGTGACAGGACAAAATCAATAACAATGTCTTAGAGACATGTAAGAGGCAGGCCGGACCTCAGTGGAGGAGGTGAAGAGGAGACAGAGGTGTAAAGAAATCCTGTTAGGCGTAAAGTAGGATACTTGTCCAAAACCGTGAAGTTGACATTGGAATCACATAATTCCAAGGTGTTTAGATAGATAGATAGATCCAGTAGTGGTATATGAAGACATGCACAACATCTCAACAACAACCACTGCCCCCCCCCATACAAATATATTAACCTTTATTATTAATATTAATATATAAACAGATTTAAAGATTAAAAGAAGCACTACATGAATCAAGATTAAACCTGTGCAATTAAAAAATACACTTATACAAAAGAAATGTACATGAACCTGTGCAGGGATAAAGATGGATGTGACAAAACCTATTAACAGTTTAAAAAAACACCGGTAAATTAAACAGTGTCGACCTCCTGAAAGTTTTATGTTGTTTATGTTCAGCAGTGTTTGAAAGAAGGTCGTATAATTTATTTTTATAGAGGAACAGTCCGTGCAAACTTTAGAAGTGTTAATAAATTATTGTAGGATACGCATTAAGGGTCCAACTAGAGGATGATATGGTCCTAGTACAGTTATTTGACTGAACTGGAAATATATGATAAGGAAACATGGCCAGGGATGAAGATTCACCAGAAACACACCAAAGATAATAATAAAGCTGTTAGAGCAACAGTAAGAGAAACATAAAGATTATATCAGTATGTGTGTATTGTCACCATGTCGGGCATTCAACCAAATATAAATGTGATATTCCACACGTGTGATAGGCTAGTTTTAGAAAGACTATAACACAAACATACAGAACCATTAAAACACAACAATAGAAGTATTAAAATGTTGGTTACCCTCGTTAATTAAGACTCAGTCCACTGCTAGATAGTAGTTAAAAAATGGGACCGTATCCATATTACCCAGGGTTTACATGGAGGGGATTACTGACTGTGGGGAACTCGAGTGGGGGAATCAAACTGTAGACCCTGAAAATAGAAAAAACTGTCACTTTGGACGTGAAGCAGCCGGACGGGTCACCTGGTTTTCATGGTTAGCATTTTATACGCAAAGTAGGGTAGTTAGGATACCAACATTTTAAACTTCAAATAAAATAAGTACAAATCGAACAATACAAAATCTAATAGTTGTTTTGATACCACACAAATAAAAAAGGAAGTCCTAGAAACCCAATATTTCTGTCTTTTTCGTTCTTTCTTCATTTATCTCTGAGTGAAATTCTAGTTTTACACTCTGTCATTGAGAGACGTGCTTCTTCTCACACACAATCAGGACCTGTGGAGAGATGTCAGAGTTGGGCTGCTACACAGGGAGCACCACTGAGCTGTTGAGGTGCCTTGCTCAAGGGCCCCTCAGCCGTACTCAGGAAGTGAGCTGGCATCTCTCGAGAACCATGAAACCAACCTCCATATTTTGGGACCTCAATGGGACTTGAACCAGCACCCCCCCCTCCCCCGTTTCCCAACTCAAGTCCCTAAACACTGAGCTACTGCCGCTCCATCTTTAATATATCGTTGGGGTTTCATTTACACCACAAATTGGAAGCAGTTTTGGGGTTAAGATGTAAATGAAGATCTTCATGTTTAAGTTTCCTCTTAATAATCTTTTTGTTTCTTTAATTTATTGCTTTATTACAACTCCTGCCTTTTGAGATCTGCCTGTTGTATCACTTGTATCCCTCTTTTTGGCCTTCATTCTTGTTGACCTCTTCCTTTTTTGTTTACATTTTTGACATCTCTCTGTTTGGCCTGCTTGTTGATGTTAGTGTCATTATCATCCAAAGTCTCTGCCTTTTCCTTTGTCTGTCAAAGAGCTTTGTAAACATCTGCTTTAAAATCTATGTATAACCATTCATAAATAAATTCATTATAACATCTACATCCTGAAGGATTCTTTCATCCTCTCATGTATGCAGCATCCCTTTTACTAATCATCTCGTACATTTTTAATGTTTAATACAGAATACTCTTTGAAAAGCTTTTACCTAATCAGTGTGAATGATTGCGCACTGACTGCTGAGTCAGCTATTAGACATGATGACTCAGCAAGAATAGTAGGGATTAAGTGTCACATACTGTACTCGTATGTAGTGAGGCTTTTTATGTATATGTGCAACACTGCCCTCTGTCTTCACTCCTCAGTATGACACACCGTCGAGCCCCACCAGCCATGTTCTGTAAGATCACCTTTTAAGGCGGTGAAGAAATGTTGAGATGTGTTCTGCTTTGATGATCCTTATCCAAAGATGACATGAGAGAGACAACGACTGTGTAATAATCAGGGAGTTAAGCTCTGACATTGAGAGAAGACAGAATAACTGGACGGGTAAAATATATAAAAAAATACTTTATTAGACATCTAGCTTCTTTTTAAAAACATGAAACTCATTGAACTGGTTCAAAATCAATGACAGCAGCACCATAACAATCAAGAAACATGAACAGTGACGAACAACAAAAGACACAGATTAACGGTGGAGAAAAAAAAGCTTATGAGAGCCTGAACTGAAGAGGACATGTGAGTCTTTTTTCTTTTTTTTTTCCATCTTTTTATCGCTCAGAGAGTTGGTCCAGGTCGTCATGGCTACGGCTGGAGAGGTGGGCCTCAAGAATTTCCCCAAATAAATTCCTTTTGAGCAGGTTGTAAGCCATGGGCAGAAGCTGCTTGATGACCTTGTGGAAATACTGAGGAGAGAAAGAACACCAGAGACTGTCAGTGCATTGCCTGTGATTACAGGTTTTCATTTTTGGTTAGGTTTGACACATTGAGAAAGCTGTGAGGAGATGCTACGATAGCAGCGTTTTAACATGACCCTGTGCAATGAAACACCTGCAAACCAGAGAGCACCTACAGCTATTATGAATAGGACACTACAAAAACCACTGCACTGAAAATGCTAAATGTAGAATTATGAAAAACGTGCATACTAGTGTTGCAAAGGATCACATTGACACTCTACTTGAACGCTGATTTTTTTGCACTGACACTCTACATGGAGATTTAGCAGTAGAACATTTATTCTACACATATTATTCCATCAATCAATGAGATCTGGTAGGGGGGGGCGTGATGTGATCCATTGCACCACTGTCTCAGTGCCTCTAGGCAGTATATTTAGGGGAATGATTGAGAAGAAGGTATGCAGTAATAAAGTTACACCACTGAGTGTGAAGGTTGTAGGGCTTTGATTGCACCGCTTCATAAAGACTCACATGAGATCCGTAACTGAAGAGATCTATTCCCAGCTCGTAGCCCATGCCGTAGTCACACTCGTCGTTGGCAAACTGAACAAAGGTGATCATCTCCTGGAGAGGTCCGAAGGCTTTCACGCGCTCCTCGTCATTTTGGGCTTCAGCGATCGCTTTACAAATCTTCTTGAGACCAGCTGGAAAAGAAAACAGAAAGTCATCACTCAAGGAAAAGGTAGAGGAACCTTCTTAATGTTAAGGTTAATTACTCAGTATACAATATATCATCAGTGTATGGTAATATATGATTATAATGTATTCTCTCACCGTCTGTCTCTGGTAGTTCTCTGTATCCTACATCATTCTTGTCTACAGGTACCACGATGCCAGCAGAGTGAAAAGTCTTGGTGACCACCTGTCAGGTGAAGAAGGTTGTTTTTTTAGAGTGAAGCAATAAATCTTTTTTTTTTTTTTTTTTAAAATAAATATGACCACCATTATTTAAAGTGACACTATCATGTGATGTGATGGGGCCGGCAAAAAGGTTGTTTGAATTTTCAATGTTTTGAGACCATACGTCGCCATTATTGGAGAGAGGAGCGCACTGGAGGGGGCGAGCTGGGGGAGAGACGCGCGACCCGAGAAAAAGGAAATCCCCAGTTTAAAATATAATGTTGGCGAAAAGAGGGAAATAGGACGACATAAATGTCAAT